TTGAGTAATAAACCCTTGTCCTCTAGATATTTCTTAACAGTAGGACAGAAAGCCTCCCTGATCCACTCAAGAAAAATTACAATTGTTACCTAGGTTGTTGTGTTTGATCTCCACATGACCCCTAGCCTATTTTTCATGACTTTATGTTTTATGAACGTTGTAGGGGCCTCACAGTGATAAACCAAAAGGCTTTATCTTGAGGTCACCACTCACATTGGTACATAGCTGTAAGGTTAGCCTGTCCTTCGTGGGCTTATGAACTGGCATTTTCTTCTCTTCCTGAGTAATGTATGTTTTCCTGGGCATTTTCTTCTAGAAAAGGTCAGTTTCATCACAGTTGAAAACTTGATGAAAGCAAAAGTCATTTCTCTGTGTCATTGTTTCAAAGTGGAGTATATAATTTTCAGCAGCCCTTTTATCAGCCCTGGCTGTTTCACCATGTCTTGTTATGCTAGGAGCCCCAGTTCTCACTTTAAACTTGTGAAACCACCCCTTTCTGGCATGAAATGTTTTCACCACTATCACCCATTGATAGATTATCCTTTATGAGATCTGCTTTTATACTCCTAGCTTTTCACAAATTATAGCCAGAGATAGCCTATAACTTGCCATCTGCCTTTCATTTATCTATATTAATAACAAAGGGCCAGCGAGATAGCTCAGCAGATTAAGTGCCTGCTTAGGCAAGCATAGGGACGGGGATTCAATCCCTGGCATCACATGCCCCAACGGTCCTGCCCCTGGGCATGCTGAGCCGGCCATAGAGTATGGGGTGTTGGCATACCTGTAATCCCAGCAATGGGGAGGCTGTAAACAGGAGTATCACTAGGAGTCCGCAGTGAAACCCTGTACCAAATACATTAGAAAAGAAAAGCAAAACCTAAAACTAATAACAAGCTTTCTACCTCATCTAACACTGTTGATCATGACTTGTAGCTTCCTTATATAAATCTTTCCAGTATATGATTGTCAAGACGGTGGATTTTGACATGCTGTGCATATTAGTGAGATCCATCACATGAATGCTATTCTCATATTTTTCCACAATTTCCTTCTTCTTTTTTATTGTGATTGTTTTTTTACTTTCCCTTCTTTCCCTCTGTTCTAGCTTTTCAGGGACTATTTTGATGGTGTATGAACAATGTGGTTTAAGATGGGAAATTTAGGTTTAACTCGTTTTTGTAGTACTGGTCATTTGTATCCTTGATTTTCACAAATATTTATGTGGGCCCTCTGCTCATTTTTTTTTCATTTTTTAATAGAGTGGTTTTCTCGTTATTTTAGATATTAGGGTTTGCAAATATTTTGTCTTTTGTTTCTTCACTCAGTTTATTGTTTCTTTTTCTGTGTAGATTTTTAGATTGATGCAAATAAATCTAGTCTTGCTATGCAGCTCAGACTCCTGGTGATCCTCCTGTCTCAGCCTCCCCAGCACTGGGATTACAGGCATGCACCACCACACTCAGTTCCAGGGTGGCACAGCACATCCGGGATTCCAGGGGCTGCACTGCATGAGGTACCAGGAATCTAACCCAGGCCCTGGTGTTTGTCAGGCAGGTGCTTAGATCTCCGGGCTATCTCCTCACCCTTTTTCTTTTCTTCTTTTTTCTGTGATAGGGTCTCACGGTGTTGTGTATTCTTGTATAAGTGGTAAGATAACTGTCAGTTTTATTGTATGGATGGTGTTTCCTCAAAACTGTTTATTGAATAGATTGTTTTCCTCTCGTTATATTCTTAGTCATTTTTCAAAATCAACTGACCATAGAAATGTGGTTTATTTCTGGTTACTCCTAGTCCACAATATGCCTGGAGTTATGTTACTGTACCTGAGATTGAACCCACAGTTACTCTATCACTGAACTATACCCCACCCCCCAGATTTGGATGCTTTTTCTTTTTCCTGCTTAACTGCTCTGGCTCCTCTTCCTTTCGAAAGATAAAATTGCAGGATGCAGAATTCTAGGTTGGTATAATACTTGCCTCCAGGAATGATTTTGGGAGGACTGCTTCCTTTTTAATTTCATTGAAGAGTTTTGAGGAGTATAGGGATTATATCTTACATAAATTTCTTGTAGAATTCAGCTGTGAATCCATCAGGATGCCACTTGAAGATGTACTCAAAGTGAAATAAACCAAACCCACATGTGTAAATATCATATAGTCTCCCTGGTATAAGAACTCAAAAGAAGAAATACAAATAGGAAGGTATGACACAATTAAAAGGAAAGCGAGAGAGAGAAAAAAAAAAAGGAAAGTGAGAACTTGAGGATTGGACAATGAGGAGAGGGCAAGGAGAAAAGCTGGGAAAAATGACAGGGGCAAAGCCATACATTTATACACACAAGATGAGTAAGGCAAAGATCCTGAGAAACATCAGCAGGTTTTTGAAACCAGCAGTTAATTGGTAGGATTCTCACCTTGACTAACTATATATGCTGATACCTGTGAACCAAGCAACTGCACTGAAGAAAGCAATATGTATTAGAAGAGTCACACTTGGAATGCCTGTCATTCTGGTCTTCTAAATACATACTGCTTGTCATTACATACCAATTATTGCCATACTGTCTCTCAAGTAAATGTTTGTTTAAAAAAAGGGGGGGGGTAATAAATGAAAAAAAGAGACAAGAAAAACATGTCACAGGACTGTCCTGCTATAATGCTGTATATGGTTAGATTTCTAAATTTCTGTA